GTACTAATCCAAAAGTTTGGATGAGTACTGCAACTTACATGTATGTCACTCTGAAACTAGGGTAGCCTCTGCTAACATTACCAATGGCTTCTCTTGATGTGAATTAATGAGTGATATCTTGCTGCCTTTCTTTGCATGAGTAGCCAGAGATGTGAAACTGAGGTGTGTTTATACTTTTCTCTTAAACATACAGGATTGACTACTCTTTTGACAGGATATCAGCCTAAATGGCTATCACTAAGCCCCTGTGGCAACTTCACTAGAATAGAAATGAGCATGAAATGAAGTATAAACATGCAACTGAACTGAAATATAAAACTTGGGTTTGAAGATGACTCGACTATAGCTCCTTCTTTATGTTGTTCAGAGCTTACATATCTACTCATTTTATAATGAATCCTTTCAGCTAAATTGGGTGATCTGATTTATCCAAAGGTATGTGTCATGCTATAGAGGAGATGAATTTGGTTTAATGCAGTTTTCCATCTCTCTCTCTCCCTGGAGTTCTCTTTGAGTGCTCCTGTTGGATCATCAGCTGTCAGCTGGCTATTGAAACTGCAGCTTGCAGGGTGGAGTCTATGACTGCTTGGTTTGTAACGCTCCCTTGCACTGGGTATAAGGGCATAGCACCAAGGAAACTAGCAGCATTCCAGAGTGAGTTGCAGGCCCATTAAGTAATGCTCACTTCATGGAACCATTTTCAAAGCAGCTGTGTTATAAATAAATCTTCCGTTACAAGTTATAATAAGGGATGTGTATTAGCAGCTACTTAAGAAAACTTAGCTGCAGTCCAGAAATCCAAGCAGCAAGTAACCATATTCTTGCATCATACAAAAGACAAGCAACTGACTCCTTGGAAGGCTTAATTATAGTAGCCTAAAGCTATTCCACTGGTATACTACTCCAGCTTTACCCACTGCTTTCTGCTGTACATATGTTCTACACTATGTATTTGGGGGCGGGAGCAGAGATTTAATGTCTGACAATGGTTATCCCTATGAGTCTTATAAAGGACTTGGTACTGGTAGCACAATTGTATGTTAACCAGGTTAAAATGTAAGGTTTAGGATTAGTTTTGAACTGCAAGAGTAAACTATCCTGATTTTGCCTTTTTTAAGCCTCTACTGTTGATCGATGGCAATTCTGCTGCATATACCCACTGGACTCTCATATGGGGAGTCCCTTTTCTTTGTAGATGGAGATTGTGAAGATTGTTCTGTATATGTGGGAGCTTGAAGGGACTTCAGCACGACTGATATGAGACCACAATAAAATGTTCTCCACAAATTAGAGTGAGAAACATACAAGCTATAGCATGGCCCACTACTCCAAACATTAAGTTCAACACACAAGTTAATAACGCTTGCAATTTTCTGCCCTCTTGTTAGTTTTTACAAAGTTCTGGCATACTTCTGCCACAGCTGTTGCTTTTTCAGTGCTCAAATAGAATACATGCTATATAGCCTCTCAAATCACTGTCAGCTTGTTTAAATAGTGACTTTCATTAATGGGTACAAGGGGTAATTTTAAGTGATAAAGTGATTTCTTAATAATAACCTAGGTTCAGGTTCTTACTGCATACCCTAGAGTTCTAAGTAGTATTTACTTCAGGGTACTGCACTGAGGACATCTAACCAGTTACAAAATCATTTGCAGGCTCAGGAACATACATTATTACAGCTCTGGCCCCTTAGAATGTCTTGTGAAAGAGAATATTTTAATTAAAATCTATTTTGGCCTAACTAGGAGATACATAGAAAATTAAGGGGAAAAAAATACTAGAGCTGTTTTCAGGTCTGCTTCCCTAGGTAGAATCTGGTTAGTAGTTAATCTTGGCTGCATTAGAGCTAAAGCAGCTTAGAAGGATGAAAATTCTGTGGCTAATGCTGCTTTTAATTGGTTCTTAAGGCACTCATTTGAGTTCAACATGGCTATATCTTTCTAACAAGTGTTCTCATTTAAAAACAGAGAGTATCCCCATTGGGCAACATCTTTAGTGAATGAATATTGCAAGTTAAAAGAAATGCATCTTTAGTCTACATCTTAATCTAGAATCAGATGGAGGCAGGATTTAATGAGAGAGCATCCATCCAGACACTAATGCAGGAAAAGCATGGAAAGAAAAAAAGCCTTTCAGTGGGTACTTACATCTGGGTAATAGTCCATGGTGGGCACCAGGCGCTCTATCAAGGCCTCCAGTGATCCAGAAACAAGGTTCCCATCCTGATAAACAGGGTCCACACATCTCTCTCCCATGTCTGGCTGCACTTGCCCACTACAACTGGAACCAAGCATGCTTGAAAATACTGGTGTCTGGGGCATAGTTTCCTGCAGAAACAGAAAAAAAAAAAAAAAAAGAAAAAAAAAGAGAGGGTTAAGCTTTCTTTCAGGATGTCTTATGTGTGGGTTTTACAGAGGCATACATTAAATACAATTACATATTTGACTGAAGGCAGCCTCAGCATTCAAGCTGAGTTTCGAATCCACGCAGACCCACATCTGTAAGCAGGCTTTGGGGACTGAAATGTACTTTAAACTATGTCTTTAAGGCTGTAGATGCAGAAGCTGTAAGAATTCTCCTCACTGTACTTGATTTCTTCTTTCTCCCTAGTTCTTCCCTGATTCTTTATGCATAAAACTATACAGAGATGAAAATACGAAACGCTTTCTGAATTTCAAAGATACTGAAGTGGAACATTACTGAACAGGCAAACAAACACTGTGCCTTAATGTTCCTGTTTTTACTCTTCTTGAGGTCAGATCTTTGGCGAAAATACTTCACTTGTGATGATAAATCCTTCACCACTTCTGTAGCTAGATGTAATCCAGGTCTCAACAGAAGTGCATCTTCTGCATGTAGATATCACTGGGAACAGCAGGGGACATCCTGGCTGAACAAACTGTCTTCTGGTTTTTTTTTTTTTTTTTTTTTTTTTTTTTTATTTTACATGTACATAAAACCATGAACTGGGTGGGACTGAATGCCGTGACATATACTGTAATATACAGCTCTCAGTTAACCAGTCTCTTTGAAGATTTTCGCTTAGGAAACAAACCTGCTGTTGCAACACAAAAACCACAGGAAGGTTTGGGGTTTCCACCTCCCTCCCCTTGGCCACAAGCTGTATCACTATCCCCTAGGGGGTTGGTTCATTTGTTTGTTTTAAACTGGCTACAGCTTAAATATATGCAGAGGGCTAAACAAAACATCCTGCTACTGTATCTAAAGGTTGAAAATACTATTCAGCATCAGCACCAAAACAGTTTCCCCTGGCTGCTCAAATAGTTAAAACTGTTTAGAAGATCAACTGAAAAGCAGGCAGCATTAACTCTGGAGCTGCTGTCTCACCATCTATGGAACAAACACGATATTGACATACTCTGAAAAGCACTTATGTAGATGAAAAGGATTAGGCCATTACCAGTACCTTCAAACTGACAGCTGTTCCTAACTGCACTGCTGTCTCCAACATAAATCTTCTCCTGAGCAATTTTGAAATGCAAGGCACATTTTTCCTCTCAAACTCTCCAAAGCTAATCATTCATGTTTACAAGTGAAATACAGAACATTCTGCTGTTCTTAAGCTCAGATGAATGCTAGGTGTGTTGTAAGGACAAAACTACAGTGTTAATGGCACTTGGTCATCAAGGTGATAGATTTACATATATTATAATACATATTATTATAATACA